AGTACATGAGTGTCGGCTTCAGCATCTTTATCGTAGGAGCAGGTGGGGGGACGTACAAGAGTGTCCACGGGGTGGATGTGAAGTTGGCTTTTCAACGGGTTGTAGTTGATACTATGGTGACTGAATTGGGATGTATGCTACGTACGGCGATACACCTACAGCAGGCAGCAGCAGGCAGCAGGCAGCAGCAGGCAGCAGGCAGCAGGCAGCAGCACCCGTGCTACAGCAGTACCACACATCGTACTTGCCCAACCGGACGCGCAGCTTACCTCTGGGTTATTAGCAGCCGGGTTGGTGGTGGCAGAAGAACGTGTCCTCAATCCCTCATGCGAACCCTGGATGGCGGCGATGACGGGGCAGGACATAACCCTGTCTGCCCCGCAACCCCCGCTTCCGCCGCCTTGTGGTATGCCGTTCTTCCGAGCTGCGTTTCGCTTGCCCGCCATGATGGCGTCAGCCTTTTCGCGGGCCAAGTTGGACAAAACCACTTCGCTAGCCTCGCAGTAGCCTGTGTTCTCCGCGGCTTTTCTGCCCTTCCTCTTGCTGTCCAACAAGGTGGTGCGAAGCTTGATTCCTCGTTCGTGTGGGGACCACTTGTGGATAACCTCGTATCTTGTTTGGCCAGCATACATGATGCGTGTACATTCGCCAGCGGCAGTCACCGCTGGGCCCTGGCCGCGCAGCATTTTCAAGCCCGCTTCCCACCACCACTTTTTGTCTGACCAACTTTCTGAGTGGCTCTACCCCCCCTAATTCGACCAAGCGGAATCGATTGGCGACGATTCCCGTGGCGAAAAAGTTCGGCAATGCGGCGAAAAAAAAGTTCGGGCTGAAGGGGAACTTGTTTTTTTTGGGAACTTTTTTTAAACGTCGTTTTTGGGCGTTTGAGAACGATCTGCGAAGTCATTTTTTTTTTTTTTCTTCTCCGAGGTGGGAAAGGTGATTCGTCTTTAGCTCGGAACCCGCCCTCAAAGTTGAAGATGTTCTGCTGTACGCTGGTCGTCACTGCTTGGCTGTGGGCCGGCTGCACCTGCTAGAAACCGTAACACAGCTGTGCAACGACGGTCGCCCGATCCCTTGGGATCCAGAGAAGGGTCCGGGGAAGGACTGGCTAGCTGGCTTCCTCAAGAAGCACCCACGGGTGTCGGAGCGCACGACTCGCATCTACGAGTCAAACAGAATCACCGAGGACAAGGAGCCCCGCATCGCCGAGTTCTACAAGAAGTGGGCAGCTCTCCTCGACGAGTACAAGCCGGAGGCCGACCACGTGCACAACAGGAACGAGACAGGTGAGGATGTACTTGTTGACTACTCTAGTCTAGACTGGTGTGGTAGCAGTAGAAGCTGCAGTGTGCGAGCTCGTGTGCAAAGACCGCGAAGATGGCATGTCAATATCTTGCGGAGTTCTGGTGTGCGGCCGAATTTTCAAAGATACGGGGCGTCCTTCTGGTGTACGTACGTACTGCTGTGCTCTATCTCACCTGTGCTGTGCGCCCTCGCACCTGTTCCATGTTGCCGAAGTCGACGCTGGCTGTGGTCTAGAGTGATTCAGACTGCTAACTACACAAATGTACCATAGAGAAAGGGCTGTGTCGCATGGTCTTTTTGGCCGATTGTTACGCAAGTCTACCCTGCAGAAAGTGTAGCTTGCGGGGTACGGCAGGACAGCGTGCATGTGTGTAAATTATGTACAGCAGACGAGTCTAGTCTAGGACGAGTACCGAGCATAGAATAGGCACACCTTGCTGTTGCTCTTCCTGATGCTAGTCCAGTCCAACTACCGCCGACGAAAGTAGACAAAGTAGGTGGCAGCTTGCTTCACGAAAAATACATGACCGCCCCGCCCCTTCGGTGCAGCGCGGTCTATCCTGCTAGGAGCGCGGTAGACTGTCCATTGCATTGTGTTTGTGTGTGTGTACACCTTTGCATTTTATGTTTGCGGCCTACGCCACTTATTTATCGGGTGAGACTGTTTTGGTGATGTATTAACTTCACGGGAGGTAGACGACCGTCCTTCACACGGACGAAAGAGGGAGTGCTCAAAGAGCGGCTCCCACAGCAAGGAGGGGCC